TGTACCCTTGGACCCAGGTACTAGTTCTATTACCACCCCACTAGTAGGTCTTTATCCCAAAGAGATCAAAGAAAATGGAAAGGGACCTATGTGTACAAAAATACTTATAGCAGCTCTTTTTGTGGTAGCAAAGAACGGGAAATCAAGGGAATGCTTGATTAGGGGATGGCTGAACAAGCTGTGGCACATGATTGTGATGGACTACTACTGTGTTATAAGAAATGATGAGGGGGGTGGTTTCAGAAAAACATGGCAAGTCCTATTTGAAATGATGCAAAGTAAAGTAAAAAGAACTAGTAGATCATTGTGCACAGTAACAAAAATGTTGCAGTGATAATCAACTATGAAAAACTTAGCTAGTCTGATCAATACAATGATCCAAGATAATTCCAAAGGACTCATTATGAGAAAAATGAGCTCTCTCTCTCTTCAGAGAGACAACTGGTGAATATAAATTAAAGTATAATTTCCTTACTTTATTTTTCTTGTTTTTTAAAAAATATGTCTAACATGGAAATGTTTTGCATGATTTCACATGTATAATTAATATCATATTGCTTGCCTTCTTAGCGGATAGGGGAGCGGTAGGGAAAAGGGAGAGAAATGGAAACTCATAATTTAAAAAGAAAAGAATGCCAAAAATAAACAAATAATAAATCAAAATGTTTAAAAACAATTCTTTTCTCTTGCATTTGAAACACAAAGGCAGGAGACAAGAGAAACCTTCAAAGGTAGAAATACTGAGGAACTTAAAGGAGCTTTTGATCAAATGAAGCAACTAAGCGGCAGAGTGTAAAGAACAGACTTGGCCGGAAAACAGTCTTGGCAGAAAGGAGGTACAGACCGAACACCTCACACCACACACCAACACAAGCTCCAAACAGGTACATGATTTAAACGTGAAGGGTGACATCATACGGAAATTAGAGGGGCAGCCAGGTGGCGCAGTGGATACAGCACCAGCCCTGAAGTCAGGAGCACCTGAGTTCAAATGCAGCCTTAGACCAAACACTCGCCATTTATTAGCTGTGTGACCCTGGGCAAGTCACTTAACCCCAACTACCTAAAAAACAGGAAAAAAGTAAATTAGAAGACAGAAGGAGGTTCACAGGAGATAAAATGGATAATTTTAAATATATAAAACTAAAATTTTGTTTTTGTATAAATACCAATGCAGTGTGCATTTAGGGTTAGGGTTTCAGAGAAATCTAGGAAGACATATGAACTGGAGCAGAACCCAAGAACAATTTATACAGCAACAACAACATTGTAAAGAGAAAAAACTTTGAATGAAGCATGCCACCCACCTCCTGATAAAGGGAATTACCTGATAAACTCAAGATTCAGAATGAGACATAGTTTTGGACATGGTCAATGCAGAAATTTGTTTTGCTTGACTATGTATATTTATCACAAAGGATTTGTTTTTCTATTTGTTTAGTAGGGGTACATGAGGAGGGAAAATAAATGCTTGTTAACCAAAAATAAAATAAAAGTTATATATAAAAGTAAAATCATTCCTAAAACTGGTAAGGGTTCTATAAAGACAATTCACAGCAATCCCTTGCTGCCAACTGCTGAGTTACTGGGACTCCCTGTTGGGCAAGTTTAGCCTGACTGACACTGATCTCAACAGACTAAAAGATAGAGACTGCTAGTCAAAGACTGCCTGGCTCAGGCAATGGTTTAGAAGTAGACATTTCAAGTGAAAAGGATTCTCTGTACTGCACCCCCAAACCAAGTTCAAATGATGGTAGAGGACAGAACCCAGAAGGAACACCATTTACACATAGTAATTTGGCCAAAGTCTCCTACTGTACAGATACACACTTCAGAACATAATACCACTGCTAGCTAACCTAGCTGCTCTACCAATAAAGCTAGGTAAACAAGACCATAATGCTGCTGATAAAGACTGTAATCATACACACATTCAACCAATACAGGTATAGGGACAGATAGAGTCCCCTTAATAAAAGTATTTGTTCTGTAAAACTTGGACTCAGTCAAAAGGCTGCACCCAAGGACCTAGAGGACCACATGGGGCCTCAAGACTACAGTTTCCCCATCCTTGGTATTGGTATTATGCCTGTATTATAGATGGATTCATTTGTTAATTGTTTAGATTTACTATTAGCTATGTATATGTAATAGCAGATTTTGCTATTTTGTAGGCCTACTGATAGATAACTGCTTTATTTATGCTTGCTACTATACATATTTGCTTTGGTTCTGAAATGATACACTGATGTGATTTTGGGTTTGTCATGTGTTCTTCAAGTTATTTAGACCTATAGATAGCAATGCAGCCTGAATAGTGATGCTTTGCACTAAGCTTTGTCTCTATTGTGGATGTCTATTTGCTGTGAACGACTCTCTACAATGATTACTTAGGATGCTGGGCTAATTATCTTTGTTCTGTGATGGTAAGACAGTCAGTCACCAGATCTGGACAAACTAAATCCCAGGATGCTGAAACAAATGGTAGGTGTGATTGCTGAGCTACTGTGTTAATGATTTATAAAAGATCCTGGAAGACTCAAGACAGTCACGTCACAGGTCTAGATTTGATAAGCGAAAATTGTTTCAATTTTCAAAAAAAATGTAGGAGGGTGAATCCACAAACTATAAGACCCTGAGCTTAACTTCCATTCCAGAAAAAAAAATTTTTTCACAATATATTACTAAAGGGATTATTTGTGAGCACTCAGAAAAGAGAGATCATTAAAAATCAGCATAGCTTCATCAAGGATAGATCATGCCACCCAACTTCATTTCCTGTTCTGACAGGATAAATGGAATGGTGGATAAGTAGAATGCCGTATTTAAACTTGACAAAGTTTTTCATGCAGTCCATTCTATATGGCCAAGACAGGGATGGAGATTAGATGAAATAACTGATCTTAGTGGCAAGAGGATGAGAAATAAGAGGTAATTCGTGAGTTGATGTCAGCTTAGAGGCTGTGTTATTTATCATTGCTTTGAATTAATCAATCCATCAACGAGCAACTTATTAAACACTTGCTATGTGCCAGACTACGGCACTAGGTACTGGAGATACAAAAGACAAAATATGTAACAGTCTTTGCCTTCAAGAAGCTATTGGGAAAAGGGCACCTTGGGAAGCAGTGCATGTGTGTGGGTGTGGGTGTGTGAAGTAAATAAAAAATATATACAAAATAGAGAAAAAGTAATTGAGGAAGGTACTAGCAGCTGGGAGGAAATAAGAAAAGGTCAAATGGAGGAGGTGGCATTTGTGGTGAGCTTTGAAAGAAGCTTAGGAGAGTTATGAGTCTGAAGAAAGAATGAAGTGAACTCTACACACAGGAGTTAGCTTGGAGAAAGGTACAGCGATGGAATGTTTTCTATGAGTACATGGAATCATAAGACCTTAAGCTGGAAGGGACCTCAGGTCCAACTACTCCAACAGCCACATTTTACAGATGAGGAATTTGAAGGCAACAAAGGTTAAGCAATTTGCCCAAGTTCACATAGATAATAATCATCAGAAGCAGTGTAGGCCAGTTTAAATGATGCAGAGTCAATGGACACCACAATTTTGTGGTGTCTTTGCAGAGATTTTCTAATGCTACTATTTTTTAAGAAATATCACCCACAGTACAGGTTAGGTTATTTTAGGTGCTCAAAGTCGAGACATTTTCGAGTGTTTTTGTAGCTCTTTAACCATAGACAGCTGATTCAAAATGAATTTCTCAGCATACCTAAAATCACAACACTTTTCAGAAATGGCAAATTATAAGGCTCACCTCACTTAAGAGTTTTACCCTTGATAAGAGTGACTGAAAAATAATTTTGTTATTTTAATTCATATTCCTTTATTCTGCATGAAAACATTAGATCTTACATATTCAGTTAAACTCACAACCCAGAATTCTGTGGTAGCAAGAAAGTATGTTTCTTTCAGCCAATCTCAAAGAGTTATAGCTAATGTTATTCAGTTATTATGTTTTACTACTCTCTTGACATTTAGCTTTTCTTTATGTCCTTGACTACAGAGTCCACCCCTCGTGAAATATCACAGATAGATTCAAGGGCATCTCAACATAGCAGCTTCAGTTTTAAAATCTAATAATTAGTTTCACAGCTACAATGACTAATTGTAGTCATTTCAATTTTAATCAACACCATGGTTATCAGTAGCTGAACCTAACTTCTATCTACTTGAGTATTTCAACTGAAACATATTTCATAAAATGGGTGGGAAGGCACCAAAAGACTCCTACTATGGAAACGTATACTTTCCATTTTTTTAGAATTTAGCATTTAAAGGGATTTTTCTCTATTGTGTTAGTCAACAGCAGACACTGCTACTTTCCTTTATGAATAGTGTTAAGAACCTATCCTAAATTACAACTAACCAGATGAATATTTCTGCTTTTCGAGGTAAGACTTCCCACTGGTTTCCAATTAAGTTTTCTGCTCCTCAAACATGGAAACTGCAAAACATCACCATGAATTTTTATGTATTTGCTTCAGTACTGATACCTGCTCCCTTCCTGGTTAGCTCCAGCCTACAACACTTCAGAAGGCCGCTAGGTGGCGCAGTGGGTAGGGTGTTGGACCTGGAGTCGGGAGTTCAAATCTGGCCTCAGACACTAGCTGGCTGTGTGACCCTGGGCAAATCATTTAACCCTGTTTCCTCATCTGTAAAATAAACTGGAGTAGAAAACGGCAAACCACTGGAAAAGAAGACCCCCCCAAATGGGGTCACGATAAGTCGGACACGACTGACATAACTGAAAAACAGCAAGACTACTTGAGAATCGTTATTCTCTCCCAAACTAGGGATAGATTTCTCGACAAATTAACACCCAGGCAGGCCTCCCATGCCAACTACGCTGCCACAACGCAGGGATGGTCCACGGTAGTCAATTCAGCACTCCTCTGGTACCAAACCGGTCACGGGTGTGCAGCCCGAGCGTGACTTCCCACACCTCCCCCCCAAAGCCTTCCGGCCCTGGGGATGAGCCCCCACTCACCCCGGCGTAATACACTTTATTGGCTCTTTTGATCTTGATGTCCAGTACAGTCCCCATAGTTAGGCCGCAGAAGCACCCGGGGCCACTTCCTACTCCTGCAGCCTCCCCTCCTTACTCCCTCGTCTTCTCCTTCCCAGCAGCCATGGAGTCACGTGACAGCATCTCGGGTCACGGGACAGACTCCACTACCCTTCCTCCTTCTCTTCCCCTTCTTCATGGCGTGCCTCTACAGCCTCTGGCCCTTCCACGAAGCGGTCGTGCGCGCTCTCTGCGCGCTCCTGCTCTCCCCGCCGCGGAGGGAGCCTCGGCCGGGTCCAGCGGGGCCAGGCGCAGAGCTGGAAGACCGGGGCGCGCGCTTCCCCCGTCGTCACAGCAACGAGAGAAGCCCTGGCTCCGGAAATGGGGGGGCGGGCAGTCGAGGCAGCCCCGCCTTTCTTCGCTCTCTTCCGGGTGTAGAGAGGAAAGAGGCTCGAGGAACCGATGGGGACTTGGTTAAGAGGGGCGCCCTCTAGTGTGTGATGCGAGCACTCAGGAAGACCCCTGGCCTCAGGTGGCTCCCAATGTTTCAAATAGCTGCTGCTGCACTAAGCCTGGCTCCCCCTGCCCTCCCCCAGCCCCGCCCCGCCCGTCTCAGACTGCGCGCTCAGGAGCAGTTTAAGCCTGTGCTCAAGTCACTTTGTAACTCTTTAAATTATGCACAAGGTTCCTTCCAATTTCAGTTTATCCGTGACTTTCTTAATACCATAGAAATTTTATGGCTTCATACACAGAGAGATGAATGTAGTTTGGGCTACCTTTAAATCATCTTGTGTGTGTATAAAAATATGAGTCAAATTATATACATTATCAAATAGTGTATGTGTTCTAAAGGACAAATAAATGTGACCTGTTAACTTTTAAATAAACATTTAAGGCAACTAGGTGGTATAGTAGGCAGGCTTAAAATCACAAAGATCTGAGTTCAACTTCTGACATTTAAAATTCTAGCTATTATTACTTGTTACCATTATTACTATTACTATTGTTGAATGCTACTTAAGTAATTTTATATGTATCTCAATGAATTGAAAAACACAGAAACCATCTCTAACTTGTTATCAATCAAGCAATCAATGTGCTAGACAATGAGTGAAACAATGTAAACTGTGAGATCTCTCAGATGGACTGAGTGTAGCAATTTTGTAGACTGTTACAAACTCAAGGTTGGTTACACTAGCCTGAACAGGCCTAAGTTTCAGGTTCCTAGAAAACACATGATTTGTACTGTTACATCAGCATTAGGTAATGGCTAATGCTAAAAAAGGATATAATAGCTAGGATTGGTAGTGTTATAATGAGATTCCTTGTTTCTGGGGTAGATTTTCGTGTTTTAGACTGTAAAGCTGAAATTCCTGTCCAATGGGAATTTAAGACCAGTGGTGGGTGGGTATCTCTGTTAGGACTATATAACCTTTGTTCTGGCCTTTGTGCCTTTCCTCGCTTCACTCGGACTGCCTGACAAAGCAGACGCCCGCTTCTCGCAAGAATGTAATAAATCTTTCACTTTATACCTAGAAAATCTCTGAGTGTTATTTTTGGGTAGCTGTAGCACACAACAGTAAGGGTTAAAAAACAAATAAGGAATGGTTGCTGCATTCAAGAAGCTTACACTCGACGAGCAGAAACAATACGTACACATATAAGCAGACAAAAAATATATACAAAATATGAGATAATGGAGAAACTAGCATTGTTGGAGGAGAGGGGATGCGGAGAACAGAAAGGTTGCATGAGAGAAATGTAGGAGGTCATTTTTGAAGACGACCTGTAAAAGAAGCATTTTAGTGATGGTCAGTCATTTCAGTAGAGTCTGACTCCGTGCCCTGGGGTTCTCTTGGCAAAGATACTAAAGTGGTTTGCCATTTCCTTCTCCAGCTCATTTTATAGTGGAGGAACAGCAGGGTTAAGTGACTTGACCCTGGACAAGTGTCTGAAGCTGCTTTGAATTCATGAAGATGAATGTTTCTGATTTCAAGCCCAGTTCTCTATCCACTGCACCACCTAGATCTCTTAAAAGAGGATAGGGATTCTAAAAGGAGGAAATGAGGTGAAGTTGAGTGGAATAGGGACCACTTACCCAAATAAAAACTCAGAGGTATCTCCAGGTAGAAAACAGAAGTTTTATTCTAGCAAGTCTCGTGCCAGAGTTGGGCGTCTCCTACCCAGGGCAGACTGGTGTAGAGAGGAGAAGCAGAAACAACAGCAAGCAGCATATATGGTATTAGACAAACCACTCCAAAAAGCCCCCCTCCCCACCTGTTTGTCTCAATCTCTTCATCCTCATTGGCTGAGGCATGAGACCTTACATTCCATATTTAGAACCCAAGAGATACATTTTACTCAAAACTAGCTTAGGAGCTAGAGGATTGCCTTATTTGGTAAAGTTAAGGCACAAACCAACAGAGAGGATGGTTACAAAACAAGGGAGGGGGTGGGCAGCTGGTGCACAACCCCCTTCCCCCAAAATGAAAGTGAAACAGGCTCAGCTCATGCTGAAGCCTTACTACATTTTTAGAGCATAGCTTACATCTCACATGAGAAATTTTCACTTGTCCCACACAAAGTTCAAGAATGGGAGGCAGTTTGTGCAAAGACATGGAGATGGAGCATCCTGTATGAGGCAGGGCAAACAAGCCAGTTTGTAATTGGTAATTTCACTCACGGCAAAGTGAGTGAAGAGGAATGACATGTAAATGAGGTTGGAAAGGTAGACTGGAGTCAGGTTGTAAAGGGCTTTAAAAATCAAATTGAGAAGTTTATGATCGATCCTAGAAGTGAATATGTAATTACTTGAGAGATATAACAAAAATGTTTATTTCCATAAAATTGAAACAACTGCTAGAAAAGTAACTTGCTATTAGAAGTCAGTAAGTAGGACAAAGGTTAGTTAGGCTTTGCTTAGAGTGTGCATGCTTAATAGGCTCATGAATACTAACTTCTCCACCTCCCCACAGGGCTAAGACACTATTTTCTGAACATGCAATGTATGTAGAAGGAGGGAGGCCATGTCAAGAAGCAAATGTGTAATAGGCGTGCCAAAAGGTTATACTCTCTGGAGTACTCAGCCAATGAGGAAACAGAGAAGGGATTCTGCAGCCAGATTTAGAGATAAATAGTGAACTCTTGCTTTGGTATGTATTTCATAGGACACTTGCTTTTGCAACTGCATAACGAACTGAGTTTTTAACTATGCAGAAGTACTAAATTATATGTTAGGCTAGACCCCTTTAGTTTACCAATTTGTTAAATGCATTTCTGTAAGTGATATCCTGGTTAGTATAGTGTATCTATTGAGACAGGAAAAAGGAAAGGAGGGGTGGGAATTAGAGAAAGGTCACACTGCAAGATCCCAGCCCTAGCCTTTCTCTAGGTGTTCCCATCATCAATTTTAGAGGTGAGTAATTACTCCAGGTTTAATTGGATCCCCAAACTAAAGTTTGTAGATTACATTCCATTTAAATCTGGGGAACTATCTTTGCCCACCCAATTTTTGACATTAGGGCAATGTGTTCAAAACTGCAAAAATAAGTTTTTGTCCTTTAAGACATACTTTGATCAAGATTTCTCTATAGTGACCTTAAATGCAATCATTTTAGAATTTTAGCAATATATGTTTAAAATGTATATTACCATTGTGAAAGCTTTGTATATGTAATTTAGGTAAGAATTGAAAAATACAACTCTCTTGACTTATGAATTATAGAGTTCATTCACTCTCTCCAAATTCTGAAAAGTAAAGAGTAAGTAAGCAGAAAAGACGCACTTTTTAATTTGGAAAACTGCTTTGAGTTGATCTCTGTAGGCCATGTGACAGATGTCTATTGTTAATAGGGCAGCCAAACCTTTTTAAAGCTGTTAATGGGGTTTGGAAGAAGCCAGAACTCCACTCTTGTATTTCAACAGGACATATAGCCACTACAAATCTCCTTAAAGTTTTTGTAATTATTAAAAGCATCTTAATGGTTTTCTGTTTAAAAGCAGGTTTGTCCCGCAAGTTCTTCTGGGACTAGAATAGGCAATACAGTAGAGTTCTTTTGATCACTGAGAGAACACCTGAATTATAGCTAATCAAACAACAGGTTATATATTGTGATAGGTAAATTAATGAAGAAAATCAGCTGGGTTGAAATTAACTATTTACCTTGGGAAAGTATAACAACACTATGTGCTATCATGAAGGAAATATTCAGTAGAATGAATACAGTTTGGGATATGGTTGAAATGTAAAGGAAAGTTGGGTAGTGTGAGTAATGGGTCTGGAAGACTTGGAAAGAAAAATAATAAAGGCTTGATGGAAAATATGGAAGAGATATAAGGAGGTTTGGGTTTTCAAACCAAAAGAAGTTGTATAAAAAAAATTGAAGAGAAGGTTTTAAGTATGTTAAGAGGATTTGACAAGTTTGACATTAAGTAGAAAGATTGAAAGATATAGTAGTAATGTAAAATTTGCAACTTGATATATAAGCCAATAAAGAAAGTTATAGAGGCTTAGGGAGAAATTTGATAAGCAATGTGTTCCTAAGTATAATTGGGGTAGATTACTGTCACCTTTAAAATCTTTGGCAGTAGATTAGCTGGAAATAGTGAAATCCATAATATGAAATGCTTGGAATAAATAGCCCTTGTATAAAATATAATGCTAAATAATTGAAATTATTAATTGAGATTCTGTATGATATCGTTTGGAAAATAGATCTAGGTGAAATTGAATTTATTCTGGTCTCATTTTAAGTGAAATGTGTCCCTCCTAGAATTTATTATACTGTATGAATCAGGAAACTTGCTAGCTGTAAGGTTTAGAGAGAAGTATACTTTTTTAAAATTTTCATTCATTTCATGTATAAGTAGATCTTATATCAAATTGCACACCTTCTTGGGGAGGAGGGAGGAGAAGTGGGGGAGAAAATTCAAAACTCAAAATCTTATGGAAGTAAATGTTAAAAACAAAAAATAAATTAATTATAAAAATAATTATTCATTTTAAACTTAAATACAAAACAAGAAAAAAAAGAACATTTCCATATAAACAGCAGAACGTAAGAGAGGATTCAATATAAAACAATAAATTTCCATTTCATGAAAACCTATGTAATAAATCCTATATGTCGTTTTCAAAGCAACCCAGCTTTTCTGTGCTTCCTTCTAGGTTTTCTTTTGCTCTCTCCTGTGTACTTTTTATTTTTTTTTTCTACCTCCTCCCCTCCCCCTAGAGAAGACCACAGATAAATGTGAAAATACATGTGTGTGCATATATA